ATATTTGTTTTAGCTCATAAAATTCATACAAATTACCCGGCCAGAAAATAATTTACATTGCTGGAATTCTTACAATTTGATGATCATTTTGAATATAAACATCATAGATTTTGCATTAGACATACAAATTTTAGATATAATGTTTACTCTGAGTAAATATGTTATCTTTTGTGCAAAATATATGACATTTATATTCAAAATATTCCTGGTCTTACAAGGAATCCAGCAATGTCAATTATATTATCCTAACTTTAGTTTGAGGTATTATTTATTACTATACCTTAAAATCTAGTGGTTTTCCCCCAAAAATTTCTCAGAGAGGGAAGAGCCAGCGAGTGTAGTGTGAGAAGAGGGGGAGGGAGTTGAGTCCATTATTTGAATGGACATTAACTTGGCGACTGTATTTCTCTATTTCTCTTAAGTATTAATTGTGTGCATGTACCATCATAAAATTAAGATGTTATTTTTACTAGAACATAGGTATTGTGTCGGAAAAAGTGGAGTTTGGGGGTCAGCCGGTCTCTATTTCATTTAATCCCATATGTTATGTTGTTCACTTTACGCGTTTCTCGCTTTACGCGGCCTCCGTGGGTTCAATTGGTAAAGTGAGGGTTACTATATATATATATATATATATATATATATATATATATATATATATATATATATATATATATATATATATATATATATATATATATATATATATATATATATATATATATATATATATATATATACATATATATATATATGTTTGTGTGTCATAAATGTATGTAGTAAGTACGTTGTCTTTTTCACTCGAATCCTAATGAAACACAACTAAATTAGAATAGACGAGACCAAAGGCTGGTGTAAACAGTCCGAACACACTCCTACTGATCGTTTCGCGAAGCAAGTTTATAAATTCAAGAAAATACTTGCAATGTAGGCTATTTAATGCCTACATTTCTAATATACTACAGTATATTAGAAATAAACAAATAAATCGGTAAATCCATTTCAAGTAAATGGTAAAATTTTACTCGACATCGATATTAGTTCCAGTAAAATAACTGACGTCTAAGTGACGTCACTAGTGTTTACAATACACCAGCTGGTAACGTTTGATGCCATTACTTGAAGTGAAGTGGCCTTATTTTAAATAACCAAGGATGTGTTGCTTAGCAGTGTGTTTAACAGCATCACTCCACTGGTCAGTGGGATGGTTGGTAAAGGACTACTGGGGCAGTAAGCTCCCAGTGGTAAGTATCAGATTTGCGGTAATCTTATACAGCGAGTATAGCTCAAAACTTACGTCTTAAATGGAAATTTTTGGGGTCGTCTTATATATCCCGTCGCCTTGTACGCTGACATATACAATATCTCTTTGTTTTTTACCTTATGATAATCATTTATTTTTTGCACATTCTGTATGAACATAAAACTACAGTTACACTAGAGTTTTCCGTGCAATAAATCCACAATAGCATTTCAGCCGCAGGCAATAAGTCAATGGTATGATGCACACACTGGCGAAAGGAACCATTGACCAGGCACCCAGCTCGTGTGGCTAGTTTGAGCACAGTTGGAGAGCAGGATGAGTTCATTGTATGTTTCTATGGCAGTATTAACCACTTTAGTGAGATGTGTGGTTCTATTAAAGAAGACCAAGATGAAAAGGAACGATTGTAGCATCCAAGTGATGTTTGTTTACAAAAGTGACGCAAGTATTCGAGAGTCAAATGAAATTCCCGTCGTGGTGTATTCTTATACAGTCAACCCTCACTTTACGCGGTCCCACATTCCGCGTTTCCACGTTTACGCGGTACCCTGCCGAAACCCAGGATGCTCATGTGACTACCGACGAGATGGTAGATGATGATGACGTCAGTGAAGAGGCAGGTGGTGCATCATCCCAAGAAGAACACCGCTTATCCCATAGTAATGTTAGGGGTGCCATCGAGTGTATCGAGAAAGTCAAGCTCCTCCTTTCCGACGACCCTGACGCAAACAGGTATGAAATCTTCACTACCCAGCTGTTTATCACGACAACACCAGCCGTCAGCGAAGCATAACAGAGTTCTTCGCCCGCAACCCACCACAGCCAGCCCAAGCCAGTGATAGTGACAGAGGTAGAGACAGTGAAGATGACTTTGAGGGATTTGTCAGGGAGGCCCTGACAAGTGTGGATGACAGTGATGGTGACTCACCTGAGGGCCAGTAGCCTGCCCTCTGCCTCGGAACCAGCCTCCATCCCCGTATGCCGACCCATCTCTTCTACTAACGTAAGTGTTAAACCTAACTTTTAGTTTTCCTAACCTAACCTTTATTTTTCCTAACTTAACCTTTATTTTTCCTAACCTAACCTCTTCTATATTAACTGTGTGTGCATACCATCATAAATTAAGATAAAATTTTTACTACAACATAGTTGTGTGTCGTCAAAAAATGGAATTTGAGGGTCGGCCCGGTCTCTATTTCAATTAATCCCATATGTTATGTTGTTCACTTTACGCGTTTCTCACTTTCCGCGGTACCCTGTGGGTTGTATTAACCGCGTAAAGTGAGGGTTGACTGTGATTATTTTATTTACTTTGACAATTTTGCTCGTTTTGTTATTGAAATAAACTTTTTATATTTTTTGTACATCTTAACATTTGTACATTTTAACATTATTAAGAAAAAATAAGAACGATGTAGATTTTATTAATACGTAGAACGTCGGCGAGATACGTTCAAAGAGAGGTCGCTTTAAACCGAATTCGCACTAAATCAAAGTGTTGTTTCAATGGAATAATTTAGTTTGGTACTTGAGAGAAACACAAAATACTAAAAAGACTGACAGTCTACCCAGATGCACCTCAGCCCATCTCATAGAATAAACAAAACATTGTTTTTTTGTAGTATTATGTTGAAACAAACACTCATAAATCAACACAGCTAAAATTAAGGGAGCAAAATGGTCTGTTTACTGGCTGGGAACATAAGGGGGAGGGAGGTGAGGGGATATGCTTGACAGTTGATGCCAAGGACTAGTGCTTATATATTTATGTCCTTAAGAGTGACTAAGTTTTTCTCTTATAAAACGTCACTAAACTGACCTGGGAGAATATAATTAACATTGCTGGAAATCTTATAATATAGTGATTAGTTTGAATATAAACATGCTATAGTTTGCATTAGGCATACAAATTTTAGTCCTAACTAATTTTATTAAAGGGATAAAATTTTTATCTCTTGTGCAAAATATATGATGCTTATATTCAAATTATTCGCTGTCTTGCAAGGATTCTAGCAATGCAAATTATATTTTCCTAACTTTAGACTGTGATATTATATAAGATAAAAACTGTAGGCCTATAACCACCCAACCCTGGCTGGGAAAGGTGGGGGGAGGAGGAGGAGGAGAAGGAGGAGGAGGAGGAGGAGGAGGAGGTGGTGGTGACAGTGACATGTTTGACAGTTGGGGCCGAAGGTCTAGCGAAATATTTATTTGTTTATTTATGCCCTTTAGATTGAGTTTTTGTTTTTTGTTTATAAAATGTCACAGAAGTGACCGGGGAGAATATAATTTACATTGCCGGAATTCTTATAAGATAGTGATTAATCTGAATAAAACATGCTATAGTTCGCATTAGACATACAAATTTTAGTTCTAATTACAAATGGCTAATATTTTTATCTTTTGTGCAAAATATATGATGTTTATATTCAAGTTATTCACTATCTTATAAGAATTCCAGCAATGTAAATTATATATTCTCCCAGGTCACTTCTGTGACATTTTATAAGCAAAAAACAAAAACTCAAGCTAAAGGACATAAATAAACAAATAAATACTTCACTAGACCTTCGGCACCAACTGTCAAACATGTCACTGTCACTTCTCTCCATTCCCTACCTCCCCCCCATCTTCCCAGCCAGGGTTTGGTGTTTTAGACTTAAAGTTTTTATCTTATATAATGTCCCAGACTAAGGTTAAGAGAATATAATTTGTATTGCTGGAATCCTTGCAAGACAGTGAATAATTTGAATATTAATGTCATATATTTTGCACAAGAGATAAAATTTTTTTGCTCTTTGTAATAAAATTCTTGAAGTAGAACTAAAAATTGCATGTCTAATGTGAGCTAAAGCAAGTTTTTATTAAAATTAATCACTATCTTATGAGAATTCCAGCAATGTTAATTATATTCTCCAATGTCAGTTCAGTGACATTTCATAAGAAAAAACTTAAAGTCACTCTTAAGGACAGATAAATAAATAAGCACTAGACCTTGGCATCAACTGTCAAACATATCACATCACATCACCTCACCCCCCCCCCCCTATCTTCCCAGCCAGTAAACAGACCATTTCACATCACTTAATTTTAGCTGTGTTGATTTATGGGTGTTTGTTTTAACATTATACTACAAAAAACAATATTTTGTTTATTCTCGGAGATGGTCTGAGGTGCATCTGGGTAGACTGTCAGTCTTTTTAGTATTTTGTGTTTCTTTCAAGTACCAAACTAAATTATTTCATTGAAACAACACTTCGATTTGGTGCGAATTCGGTTTAAAGCGATCTCTCTTGGAACCTATCTCGTGTTATATCGATGTTCTACTGTAATTAATGATTCACGATACGAAGATTCGCCTTACACCACAACATTGGAAGAAACATTACCGTCCTAACTATAGGCTTTACTGTTCAGTAAAGTATTTCTTTCAAGTTTCACATATATCTCATTAAGGAAAAACAGTAATGTGCATATCCCTGAACTTTGAAGACTAAAGATGCAAGCACCATGAACAAAAATTATAAAGAATCATGGATAAATGAAATGAAGAAACACACGATAGTACTGTACAGTACTTTATTATACCTGTACTGTATAAGAATACCATGGACACAAGTATGGGTAATCAGAGACCAATAAAGTACAGTACAGTATATCCATATTTACCAAAGTACAGTATAAATAATCATAAAGGTATTTATACCACCAATCACAACTTCCACTCCAAACTTACCTCTGAAGGGGTTCCATCAGTACGTCGGTTGAGAAAAGCTACACCATATGAGTAGTGACCTTGAAATACTGGAGTTATTGGACGAGCCCATATCTCAATGCCTTTATCCTGAGAAATACAGAAAAAATTATATTTTTCCCATATATATATATATATATATGTATGTATGTATGTATGTATGTATGTATGTATGTATGTATGTATGTATGTATGTATATATATATATATATATATATATATATATATATATATATATATATATATATATATATATATATATATATATATATATATATATATATATATATATATATATATATATATATATATATATATAATTTAGCTAATAGCATAAAATGAAATAAAGCGAATTGCCGCCCAGCTAAGTATCGTTATTTATATATTTCATTGTATACATAAATATATATATATATATATATATATATATATATATATATATATATATATATATATATATATATATATATACACCTAGACCCCGACTTACGACGGGGTTAGGGACCCAAATCCAGGTCGTAAGTCCGACATGGTCGTAAGTCCGACATAGATAAAAAAAAAAAAAAAAATTTTAATAAAAAATCTACAATGAAATACAGTACAGTAAAAGTAATGAATAATGATGAATGGATACAGTACAGTGAAAGTAATAAATAATAAGGAATGGATACAGTGTGACTGAGCACTTAACCTTTAATGTAGTCAGCTGAATGCACATGGGGCCCCCATAATTTTCTAATTATACATGGAGACTACATTAACTGGAAACGTTTCGGTATAGAAAATGCGTGTGTCATTTGAAAATTTTTTTTCTGTCGTAAGTCGAAGTCGTAAGTCGGTCGTAAGTCGGGGTCTAGGTGTGTGTGTGTGTATATATATATATATATATATATATATATATATATATATATATATATATATATATATATATATATATATATATATATATATATATATATATATATGTATGTATGTATACATATGTATGTATGTATATATATGTATATATGTATATATATATATATATATGTATGTACAGTCAACCCTCACTTTACGCGGTCCCACATTCCGCGTTTCCACGTTTACGCGGTGCCCTGCCAGAACCCAGGATGCTCACATTCCGCGGTGGGTGTACCCCTTTACACGGGTGAAGTATAATTTTTTTATTTAGCTCATAAAATTCATACAAATTATCCGGCCAAAATATAATTTACATTGCTGGAATTCTTACAATTTGATGATCATTTTGAATATAAACATCATAGATTTTGCATTAGACATACAAATTTTAGATATAATGTTTACTCTTGAGTAAATATGTTATCTTTTGTGCAAAATATATGATATTTATATTCAAAATATTCCTGGTCTTACAAGGAATCCAGCAATGTCAATTATATTATCCTAACTTTAGTCTGATTTATTATTTATTACTAAAAAGGTAAACAGTCTGGTATTCCCACACATTTATCTAGTAGGGACGTTGGTGGGGGGTGGGGGGGAGGGAGGGAGGGACCGGCGACCGACCATCTGTTACCGTGTGAAGAATATTTTTTTTTTTATTAACTGAAGATTTTTATTTTAGCTCATAAAATTCATACAAATTACCCGGCCAGAATATAATTTACATTGCTGGAATTCTTACAATTTGGTGATCATTTTGAATATAAACATCATATATTTTGCATTAGACATAAAATTTTTAGATAAAATGTTTAATCTGAGTAAGTATGTTATCTTTTGTGCAAAATATATGACGTTTATATTCAAAATATTCCTGGTCTTACAAGGAATCCAGCAATGTCAATTATATTATCCTAACTTTAATCTGAGGTATTATTTAATACAAAATGTTAAAATTTATTTTTTTCACCCACTCTTCTCTTGAAGGGAGGAGTGGTGGGGGGTGGGGGGGAGGGTTGGGACTGACCGCGCGGTTGGAAGAGGGGGGAGGCAAGGTGGGGTACTTTGATTGACAGATAGTGTCCTGAAGAATATTTTTTTTTTATTAACTGAAGATATTTGTTTTAGCTCATAAAATTCATACAAATTACCCGGCCAGAATATAATTTACATTGCTGGAATTCTTACAATTTGGTGATCATTTTGAATATAAACATCATATATTTTGCATTAGACATACAAATTTTAGATGTAATGTTTAATCTGAGTAAATATGTTATCTTTTGTGAAAAATATATGACATTTATATTCAAAATATTCCTGGTCTTACAAGGAATCCAGCAATGTCAATTATATTATCCTAACTTTAGTTTGAGGTATTATTTATTACTATACCTGGTTTTCCCCCCAAAATTTCTCAGAGGGAAGAGCCAGCAGTGTAGTGTGAGAAGAGGGGGAGGGAGTCTGTCCATTATTTGAATGGACATTAACTTGGCGACTGTATTTCTCTATTTCTCTTAAGTATTAATTGTGTGCATGTACCATCATAAAATTAAGATGTTATTTTTACTACAACATAGTTATGTGTCGTCAAAAAGTGGAGTTTGGGGATCGGCCTGGACTCCATTTCAATTAATCCCATATGTTATGTTATTCACTTTACGCGTTTCTCGCTTTCCGCGGTACCCTCCGGGTTACATTAACCGCGTAAAGTGAAATATAACAAAGTCTAGGACTGCTTTTAGTATCCTGGTGGTCCAGCGGTTAGCGTTCCCCGGTCACAGTCATAGGCTTGTGTGCCGTGGGTTCGAATCCTGGCGGGTTGAGGTGTTGATTGTATGTAGAAGTCCGCGTGCTTTATTGGGCTAAAGATATATATATATATATATATATATATATATGCAAGTAAATCACTGTGGGTGCGCATGATCCAGGTATATGCTGATAACCACAAGGAAAAAGAAAACACGAAGTTCCCAAGCTTTCGTGAAGCACCCAACAGCTTTCTGATGACTAGCAAAACCTTTGCTGTGTCTGCAGTATGACCGCTGCTACTAAAGAGGTTTTTGGCATTTACAAGGTTTAGGATATACCTGTAGTGATCCATGGGTATAGAATAATGCTCATTATATATATTTTCTCATATCAGACATGAAGTACAAAGGTTTAATAAAAAAATAAATAAATGTTACAAAAACCTTATTGAAGAAAACTAAAGCCCCTAGACAATATTGTGGGTTATTTAGGTAGAAAAGATGTTGTCTTTCATGTTGACCTTCGGTGAAGATTTATGTGTGACAGTTTCTGTATGGGTACTTTTAAATTATAACATGTAAAATAATTGTTTAATAATTTATTTTAAAACAATGTCCTTTGCATTACTAATATACACACATACCTTATATATTCTTTTGCCCTGAATGCCTAGAGGATCCTGATTCACTTCAATAACAGCCCGATTCTGTAAGATAGCTTTGTACTCAGGGCGAATTGTTCTCAGATCCACGGACATTAGTAGGGGTGCGGCAAATATTGCCCACATGGCCATTTGAGATTTTGATTGTTCATAACTTAGACCAAAATTGCCAATGATCAGCTGTAGAAATTAAAAAGAATTATTAAAAATCACAAAAATAATATGTTCAGTAGTACAAAAATAAATGAGATATACAGTGTATTCACTATTATGCTCGATATCAGTTACATTATTTCCTTAATAATATAAAATAAAACTAAGATATTACCTCAATAAGCATTTGCATCTATGATTTACTATGATAACATTATACAGAACTGTACTTTATACTAAAAAAACCCATTAAAATATCTCCATCACTAACAATTCTGTAAATCAAGACAAGTTATGTATTTATATAAAAATACAAATATTTTACCATGCCAAACCACGGTCAGCAAGAAAGTACTGCATTCAAACACCTTATGACCAAAAGATGTTTCACCATAACCCTAATTAGAATGTAAAGGAGTGAAATACACCTCCACTAATGTTATGACTTTAGTGCAAGTGCTGATAATACTGCACATTGCAAGAACATATCTTATTTTACGGCATATAAGACGCACTTTTTGTTGGAAAAATAATTTTAAAAAATCTGTTTGCATCCGATATGTGAAGTTGCGGTTTCCCGCAGAGCTCTTCTGGGAATAAGAGATTTCTGGATATTGAGATGAATTTCTCATCCCCAAAAATTTTCTTGGTGTTGGGCTAAGTTTTCTGAGTCTAAACCACACATCTCATATGGACAGACACTATCCCACATCCCCGGCATGTTTCCAGGTGTCAGGGAAAGTTTTTCCAGTCTAAACTACCGCTATGCATTCCTAGAAATTTTTTTCCCATGCTCAGAACAGAGAGGTTTGGAGAGATTTACCCATGCTCAGAACAGAAAGGTTTGGCAAGATTTTCTTGGAATTTTTCTGGAAAATGCATATGATTTCATCCTCGGAAATTCTTTCCCATGCCCGGAATGGAAAGAGTTTTCCCCGAAGGCTCAAAATCTATTCCGCCTATTGGAGAGTTCCAGAGAGATTACTGTATATAAAACACACACACACACTTATGATGTTCATTACCATATCAGGGTCATTCCAGTGTCCAGGGCCAGCATTAGGAACTATGTCATCCTGATTATCTCCATAATAATCAATGATCCGTTGCACAGATTCCCAGGAGTCTTGAATGTCATCAAAGTTTCTCCAGAGATTGCAGGTATTAATAATGGAAGTGTAGTTAGGCTGAAAATATTCATAGAAATAACTTTAATAAAATAATACAGTAAAAGTAACAACTGCTCCATATACACTATAGTGGCCAACTTGATGATCTTGTCAATAGTCCAAGAATAGAAAAAAGACAGCAAATTTTCTCTGTTCTATGTAGAATACTTTTTGGTTAATCCTGCTGACCAAATTGGATAGGACAAAAGTGCTATCAGGTGTACAAATCAATATGCTTCCCCGCATATTCGGGGAGGGGGGTAAAAATCGGGTGTTGTTACGGGTATGTAATACTTATACCAATTTATTAAATTTTATTAGTGCATTAGACCACCAGTCCCAGAAACGATCATGATTTTTACACAGAGGATTCAAACTATCTCAGGAAATGAACATCCAACCTTAGACAAGAAAAAAAAAAAAAAAACAGAAGTGCTGCCAGGGTGTATCGCAACCAATGCACCCAGTATCATTACTTGTTTATATTTTCAATTAAGGTGGTTACCATTTTTTAGTGTTGTGACAGGACCTCTAAAATTCCCTGTACTTCACCCAAGGCATCAAGCAAGAAGTGTAAACTTAATGCTTCAGCAAGCTTAAGTAAGGAGCATCAGAATAGGAAGGCCTTACCTTAGCACCCAAAAACAGATAGAATTGTGCTCACTCCCCTTAATTCCTACTTTCCATAAAAGGATATCAATACAGATCAAACCATCTTCTCCCTTCTTGGTAACTTACCTTTTGATCATTCTGGGGATGACTGTGTTTGTAAAAAACTCACCTATACTGTACCATACTCTTTTCTCAAAATAATGGATTTAACCAGGTTATAAACACCTAAAAGCTTGTTTAGAAAATATAATACACATAAAAGCCACTGAAGTTCATATGTTACTGTTCAACATTTGTACTCTAGCTCCACATACCTACAGTGAAACCTCTATTTAATGGACTATAGGAAAAGGAAAGTCCATTATAGTGAGGATATGTTAGATATGAAACCTTCGGCAAACAGAATATATGGAGAGAGAAGTCCATTATAGAGAGGTTTCACTGCAATGTAAAATAAATACAAATGTATATATATATATATATATATATATATATATATATATATATATATATATATATATATATATATATATATATATATATATATATATATATATATATATATATATATATATATATATATACATACGTATATATACTTCATTTTTAGTCCATATAACACGCGGACTTGAACATATAATCAACGACCTCACCAGCCAGGACTCGAACTCTAGACCTTATGCGTGTGACCAGGGAACGCTACCCACCATGCCACAAGGACACACGGTCACACGCATAAGGTCTAGGGTTCGAGTCCTGGCTGGTGAGGTCGTTGATTATATATATATATATATATATATATATATATATATATATATATATATATATATATATATATATATATATATATATATATGATAACCACAAGGAAGAAGAAAACAGAAGTTCCAAGCGCTTTCGGTAATTCACATCTTCAGGGGTGTACAGACTAGAGAGAGTAATACAAATCAAGGTGTATATATAGAGGAGGGTGAGACCAGGTCCAATGGTTATCAGCATATACCTAGATCACACTACCTACAGTGATTTATATATATATATATATATATATATATATATATATATATATATATATATATATATATATATATATATATATATATATATATATATATATATATATATATATATATATATATATATATATATATATATATATATATATATATATATATAATAATAATAATAATAAAAAAAAAAATAAATAACAATATCCAGTGATCCATCAGAATTGGCATTACATATCACTCATACGACAGCTGCTCTAGACTGTGCAATGAAACATCTCTAAGGCAAATTTCTTCAAAAATATATTTAATTGAAGACAAATAATAGAATAGTACCCAATTAAAATATGGAAGTGTGGGATAAGAGACTAGGATTACTGGAGAAAAAAAAAAGAAGAGAAATGTAGATGAAATGATGAAGCATTTCTTGAAGCATTATTTGTCAGTACAGTATTGATGTTAAGAGCTGATGTAGAATTAATTAAGAAGTTATGGAGAGGCAGAAAATGTGGAAGGTTGTGAAGTGTGTGAAGAAGTGGAGACTTGTAGGGGATTTGAACTATTTCTTGAAGATGTGGCGATGTGTAGAAGCAAAGATGAAAAATCAGTTGGGCTCGTGAATTGTGTTTATAATCATTAAATGGCCTTGACTATACAGATAATCTTTGTTTACTGCAATTTCAATTGATCATAATGTAATTCTTATGGCCAAAATATTTTAATATCACAATGTGTTTTGTTTTTTGTGTATGTTATAAGAAAAAGAATTCAAACCACACAAAAGAACCTTAGGCTAGCCTATGCTCCAGAAATCAACTTCCCAAAGCATGAAATAGTTTATCAGTATTGAGTAATACCATACAGGGGCCCCCCCAAATTCGCGGGGGTTAGGTTCTCAAAATGGCCGTGAATAGCCAAATCCGCGAATAACATTTGCTGACCAGGTGGGGGGGGGGGGGCATTTTTACTTGTGTACAAAGAAATGTATATTCTCTTTATGTGTTTGCCCTTAGGACAATTATTTCTTATATCTGTATTGTATATATATGTGTGTGTGTGTGTGTGTGTGTAGTAGACACACACACACAAAACACATACAAATAAATAATAATGGGAAAATACTCTCACAAATAATCAGAAACAAATTTATTAAAAATGTGACAGTCTACCCTCAAGTCCGTGCTTCAATAAATAAAGCACGAACTTGAGGGTAGACTCGCATTTTTAATAAAAAAAATTAGGGTTATTTGTGAGAGTATTTTCCCATTATTATTTATTTGTATGTGTGTGTCTACACACACACACACTACACGTAAAGGAAATTACTGTCTCTAGAATGATTGGCCCCCTCTCCCAGCTGCAAAAATGCCAGCAACTTTAAAACTACCCACAGACATTCTTGGGTACATCCAGAGTGTCATTTGTGAATAATAGAGGACTGCGAAATAAAAATCTGCGAATTTGGGGGGAACCCTGTCTATATTTTTGTTTAAACCCCTCAAAAATATTAATCGTGTGTACGATACCTGCACATGACATTAAGTCTTCTTTATATATAATTTAATCGTTTTAGGTACGGAGGGTCTACCCTTAGGGGATCATTTGTAGCTGGAAGGATCTGACTCCGTGTGTTACCTGTCATAGAGGAGGAAAAACACAGGAATGCTTTTCCCCCATCCATTGTGGCATAATCATGTCACCTTACGAAGATATACAGTAAGTCCTTGTTTAACGTTGCACCCGACAACGTTGTTTCGTCATAACGTCGTTACTCCTTAGATACCCATGATTCTGACAACGTCCTGACCGATTCGTTATAACGTCGTCACAGACTATGGCGCATCACCCTCTCTCATCTTGGCGCGCTACGCTCTCTCGCGAAAGCATCACAACCTCCTCAGTCTTTGTTAGGCTTCCACTAAGCAGTCAGCGCTGGATTCTTTTTTTCGTAATTGGGAGGCAGAAGCAGCATCTTCACAACAGCCTGCATGCGAGGAGGAGTGAAAAGGAGCCGAGGTGGAACCCCAGTTAGAGCAGGAGGAGGAGTCACCCTCTGGGCCACAGTGACTCGCCACCTTCCTCTTCTCCACTACCCACCACACACTTGCTCCACCTCCACCCATCAGTGAGTACAATGCAAAATGATTTAATTTATTTATCTCTTTGGATGTATAATATATACTATTTTCTATAAAAATTCCATTGAATTTATGTATATGTAATGTATTTTATGGGGCAAAAAAAGGCTGGAGAACTAGTGTATTTTATCTATTTCTTAAGGGAAAAATTAATTCTGCTAACATTGTTTCCATTAACATTGCATTTTTCAAGAATGGAATCATGACGTTAAACAAGGACTTACTATTCTTTTTATAATTTTTTCTCCTGCATTTCAGTTTCATAGTTACTGAAAAATCAGAATAAACGCTTACAAAACATCATGAGGAGACAAGGGCAATAGTAGTCATATCTGAAAGGGTTCCAATCCTCTACCACGTTATATATATATTGAATAAACCACGATAACTACTGTAAATATATTTGCAGATTACTAGCCTGCATGCGCATGGAGCCAATCTAAGACATAAAATGATCTGCTGCTTGGGGAATTTTAATATCTTTCAGTAAACTCAGTTACTGATAAAGATACCTATAGTGATAAAGCCATATGCTGAAGCTAACCAGTGAAGTCTTGTCATTGGTTATGTTAATGCAACTCCAAAGGTCATTAAAAAATTACAATACCACATAGATTCCATGTTAGTCACACACAATCGTCTAAAGATACAGTACACATATTCTTCAAGTCAGCCCTTCTTACCTCCATCCGTGATAAGATCTGGTAGAAAGGCCATGAGCAAGAGTACACCATTGGTCGCCCAGTCTTGTTCAGAAAATATCCAAATTCAGGGTATCCTGTATAACAAATCCAGGATGTCAAGTACATCATTTTACTATTGTGAAGGTCTACAGTGCTTCTGACAATGATAAAGGTTTTTCTGACTTGGGAACATTGCAGAATAGTCACAGGGAGAATTGCAATACCAGAGACTAAAGCAAAACAGCACTCAGAAGACTTTGTTCTACAAAATGAAAGAACTAATTTGTACGTCAGTCACATGTTAAAGTCATGCGTCGCAAGAATTTGTTGGCTTTCTCTATCCAGTGGGCTTTTACCTGTATTTAAAGGAAGTAGATGCAGGCAACTTCTTCAAATGTACTGGTCACAATTTTACTTAAAGTCTAACAAGAAGACTAAATTTATCAATTCTTTTTATTTCAATATATCACTAATTGTACAACTGAAGAAGTTCCCTTCCACCTGCCACAGAGACCATAAAGCTATTCTTATATCTGAAAAGGATAACAATAACTCCATAGCATGAGTAAGGGAGGTAGATAAAGAGAAAAGTAACAAGAGGCGTTATGGAGTAGAGATGAGAACAATGAAGTTGTCAGCCTGCTCAGTGTTGTGAATTGAGTAACACAAAGACAGTACAGTGCTTCATCAGTTGAAGAAGGAGAACTTCATAAAAAGGAAAAAACTTCAGGCACTACATTAGTTCCCTCACAGATGTACATACTGACCGATAATCATTAAATTACAATGTGGGAACCATGTGGCACCACCAGGGAACAATCCTTGTTACAGTAGTGCACCAAGTGGCCCTGTGGTGGCACTCATGTTTGTTATTGTCAACATGAGTGTCGCCATGCAGTCACGGGTGCACTTCAGTACCAAGCTTTATTCCCTGGTGAGGCCACATGGCTGCAATCAAGTAATTAAAGAATTATATAGGTCAGTATTGGTGTTGTTACTTATCTTTCTTTTTCTTTTTACTTTATAATGAGAGGACACCCCTAAAGTTTACACTGTACTCTGTTTTGGCAACTGTGAAGTGATTTTTGCTATGTTTTTTTGTGACTGTCAAGTAATTTGGCCACACGATGACCATGGTTCATGTGGATTGTTTACATCGTAGATAGGGGGGTGTGGCATTAATACATCACCATCATTAAAGCGGAATATTGTAGATAGGGAGAGCGTAGATCGGGGGATACCTGTATACATATTTGGATGTCCCAAACACCTCACAAACACTCGTACAGATAACGTATACAGATAAATAGAGATCTCTTGAACAAATCCTGACTTGCTAACATAAATAGCATTGGTAGTAAGAAACCAAAATTTATATTATCTATTGGCATGTCCACATACAAAATGCCACCAGGAAAATAAAAAACTTATATTGTTAAGATACCAACAACTCTGAAATACAAGGGAGTTTAATTAACATTAAAACAAGCTGACAAACTCATCTTTCAAATACTCTTATTAAAGTCCACCTTGAGATAATGTTTTGCAGCTGTTTTTCCCTTAGCTAGCACCATATCCTGCTCAGTCTGTTTAAAATGCAGCGCCAAGTTATTTGCTCTTTGCCAATTATGTTAGCTCTGTTCTGCACACTACAATTTATATGTTACTACACCACAGGATGACCCCAACATCTAGTACAATGCACTACAACAGGGAAGCTATCACCACTATCTCACCGTCATGCCGGAATATGTCTGGTAGACTGGCCATGAGCAGGAGTATACCATGGGTCGTAACGTCTGGTTGAGGTAAAAACCAAATAGGGGGTAGCCTGGGGAAGGAGGGCACAAACAATGGAAATTAAGGAAAAAACATACACATACAAAAGGAAAAACAATGAATGATACTACAAAAAGTAAGACCACATACTGTATAAGGCAAATGTTTAAACTGATATCCATGCAACATGTCAAAAGTGTTTTTGAGAGTACAGTATTGTGTAGCAGAAGGTAATATTACATGTAAAGAGAAGAGGAGGGTGGTGATGTATACAGTATACACTTGCACAGAACATAGGAAGAAGAGTGTGTTGCTAACAAAACATAGCAAATGGAGAATGTTCCTGTCATGATACAGCAATAAGGAAAATGCATCTTTCAAAATATACACTACAACAAAGGCATAACTATCAAGGCACAGCCTCAATCTAGGAGACTGCATGAAGGAGATCGTGCTGCTACCGATCGACAATGAGCAAGGTAGATCACTAAAATATATATATATATATATATATATATATATATATATATATATATATATATATATATATATATATATATATATATATATATATATATATATATATATATATATATATATATATATATATATATATATATATATATATATATATATATATATATATATATATATACAGTCGGCCCTTAACATACGCGGGTTTAGCATACACGGATTTGCAAATACGCGGATTGCCCCGCCGGAGGAATATTCTGTACATTGAAGTAATTGAAGTACATTCAAATCGCGCGCCATTCAACTCGCGCGCGGCACCGAACACGGGACACCGCCCGCTCCCGCAACCTCACACACACACGCATAGCTCTCCCTCACTCAGTCAGTCTCGCTGTAACCACGCTTGTGTTGACATCAGCATTGTAGTTGCAAAAATATTACATTTCCGTGAATGTATTATATCAAGCACAGTATGAATAGAATATCACTAATATAACAGTATTTTAACCGAAAACTATTAAAAAAACGAGTAACATATCTTGAACATCGGAAGGTTAGGTAAAGTCTTTTGTTTTCATGTAGTTTATCCTAATTTACATTGAAATACATTACGTTTCAGCAAAACTACTATTTATTTCTGAGAATATGGAAATGTAATATTTTTGCTGAAATGACGTACGTATTACAGTGGAAAGTGACGAAAGCAATGACTTTCGCTTTCTTTCGTTCAAAAGATGTTACCGTAATCGCTTTTCGAATGGTTTTCAGTTAAAAAACTTTTGTATTACAATAATATTCTATCCTAATTCACTTGTGATGCAACAGTTTTTTAACTGAAAATCATTCGAAAAGCGATTACGGTAACATCTTTTGAACGAAAGAAAGCAAGTCATTGTTTTCGTCACGATTTTATCCCACTTTCCACTGGAATACGTACGTCATTTCAGCAAAAATATTACATTTCCGTGAATGCATTATATCAAGCACAGTATGAATAGAATATCATTGTAATATAACAGTATTTTAACCGAAAACTATTATAAAAATGAGTAACATCTCTTGAACATCGGAAGGTTAGGTAAAGTCTTTTGTTTTCGTCATGTATTTTATCCTATTTTACATTGAAATACATCACGTTTCAGCAAAACTACTATTTATTTCAGAGAATATATTCATTCGGGCGCAGTTTAGGTAAAATATACATGTGATGTAACATTTTTTTAACTGAAAATGATTCGAAAAACACGTACCCTCTAGCCCTGTTCAAGGAGAAGACTGGGAGGAGCTGCTTGGTGTTGAAGACGATGACAAGGAAAATGATTTTGATGGATTTTAATGAAAATATTCAGAAATATGGTATCGTAGTATTTATTCAAGTGAATAAGGATAGAATATTATTGTAATACAACAGTAGTGACGATGTGGAGGAGGCGGAGGGATAGAGCGGGGAGCAGGGACGAGTGGAGATGCCAGCCAGTACATTACGGGTGTATTAATTGTTTTTATAGCTATTTTTGCATTTTAATATTAAATACTGTACATTACGTTTCAACAATAGTACCATTTATTTCTGAGAACATGGAATGTAATATTTTTGCTGAAATGATGTACGTATTACAGTGGAAAGTGGGATAAAATTGTGACGAAAGCAATGACTTTCTCTTTCTTTCGTTCAAAAGATGTTACCGTAATCGCTTTTCGAATGGTTTTCAGTTGTGGGATTATGAGGCTAATGATAGGATAGAATATTATTGTAATACAGTACGAGTACAACAGTTTTTTAACTGAAAACCATTCGAAAAGCGATTACGGTAACATCTTTTGAACAACGAAAGAAAGCAAGTCATTGTTTTCGTCATGATTTTATCCCACTTTCCACTGTAATATGTACGTCATTCCAGCAAAAATATTACATTTCCATATTTATTTCTGAGAATATATTCATTCAATCACAGTTAAGGTAAAATATACTTGTGATGTAATATTTTAATGAAAATACGATATCGTAGTTTTCTTTTGTTTCAAATTTAATTAACAAAGATTGATGTTTCAAATGTAATGAACAAAAATTTATGTACGGTATCTATAAATACACTTTAATAAATGAATACTTTATGTTTTACATCGTCCTGTGCTACCATACCATGGTATACATACATACGTATACTGTATACTGGGTATATAAAATAAGGAAAGATGTGGAGAGTTAACTGAGAAGTATAAATTAATTATCATACATACAGGTAAGTACAGTATAGTTAAGACAGGTTGAGATGTGGCCATCACAGGTTATGCACAGTACTGTACAGTACTTGTATATACAAAGTGTTTTGAGTGCAAACATTATGACAGATAAATGAAGAACTGAGTGGACAATTGAACATATTGGGGAGAAGTAGTTAAACAAGATTTGTTGTCTTCATCACAGAAGCACTGCTCCTTCATATTATCATTCAGGCACATAACACCACAGTAAATGTAAAATTTGTCTGTATTGGTATACACATTATTTCAGGATTTATGATACAGGGGCCCCCCAAATTCGCGGGGGTTAGGTTCTCAAAATGGCCGTGAATCGACGAATCCGAGAATAACATTTGTGGACCGGGTGGGGGTTACATTTTTACTTGTATACAAAGAAATGTATATTCCCTTTATGTGTTTGTCCTTAGGACAATTATTTCTTCTTCCTGTATTGTAAATGTGTGTGTGTGTGTCTACACACACACACACACATTTACAATACAGGTAAAGGAAATTACTGTCTCTAGAACGAATGGCTCCCTGTCCCAGTTGCAAAAATGCTGGCAACTTTAAAACTACCCACAGACATTCTTGGGTACATCCAGGGTGTCATCCTAGAATAATAGAGGACCGTGAAATAAAAATCAGCGAACTTGGGGGCCCCCTGTATATTTGAAAAATACTGTCTAAAACAACTCTCATCATTTTTTCATTAGAGTACTGTAAAAAAATTTAATGTTTCAACAAACTTTAAAATACCAGTAAAAAATTTAAAATAATACATTGTACAAAAAGAAGTAGACTAACCCTGATCCATATCTACTGGGTGAGAGTAACACCCATCCAACTTCACGTAGTCAACTCCCCAATCAGCAAATGTGTCAGCATCTGTTTGTAGGTGACCCAAAATGCCAGGGTAGCCAGCACATGTGAAGTTTCCATAATCCTCATATATACCAAACTTCAGACCACGTTTGTGCATCTGGAAGAAGTGTGAACATTAAGCAAGTACTGTAGTTAGATACACAGCCTTTATGGACTGTGACTGAACATTGTTATGAAATGTTGCATGAATGAACAATTCAGAAAATCAACTGTCTCCCGAGACAAGAAACTTCTAATATATGAATGTTCTGAAACATTTATGGTCAATTTATTCATGAAAAATATTGTACAGTAATACCCTGCTTTACGCGGTTCTCATTTATGCGTTTCTACATTTACGCGGTACCCCGCCATAACCAAAATTCCCACTTTACGCGGTACATCTACTCATATACGCGGGAAGCGGCGCGGGCAGGGTGCGCACAAGGTCGCCCAGTCATCAAAACATTACCGAGTTCTTCACCCACCACAGCTGGCCCAAGTCAGTGATAGTGAGGATATGGACTTATATGGACTTTGAGGGGTTTGACAAAGAGGCCCTGCAAGCCTCTGTGGTGGATGGTGATACAATTGATACAAGTGATACAGGTGAGGGCCAATAATCTGCCCTCTGCTTCGGAACCAACCCCCCCATCCCCGTGTGCCTAGCCACCTTTTCTACTAATGTAAGTGTTAAAAAATCTAATATTATTGATATTTCTCTTAATTATTAATTGTGTGCATACCATCATAAAATTAAGATGTTATTTTTACTACAACGTAGGTATTGTGTCTGAAAAAGTGGAGTTTGGGGGTCGGCCCAGTCTCTATTTCAATTAATCCCATATGTTCTGTTGTTCCATTTACGCGTTTCCCGTTTTACGCGGGCCTCTGCGGGTTCAATTGACCGCGTAAATGACGGTATTACTGTACTGTAATGGAAAACGAAAAAAAAAATTCCTGGACTATAACACGTATACACAATATTTATCACACCAAGAAGCAATTCTTTATGACATTTTAACTGCGGGTCTGTATGTATAAAGGACTGAACATGAAATCCAATTTTATATCGAAGCCTCAGTTTGGTACCTTGTATAATGTTCTCATTAACCCTATGATACCTTCAGCATTTGTATTGTGCTGTACAGTATTGTATTCACTGGCTATATCTACCCCAGGGACTATCCCATTAGTCCTTTCCCCCAGACACAAAAAGAACAGGCTTGAAACCAAGGGTAGGTAGGGGCTGCCAAGTTATGGTTTACATTAGCATGTACAGTATGCATCTCCTTGCCAGCTATTGTGGATCAACAATCTTGGATGCAAGCTCAATCTTCACTTCCCAGCCTCCTCCTCACTGTACATGGGGGAACTAAGGTATGAAAATCCCCTAGCTTGTTATTAGAATAAACAATACAGTGGACCCTCCATTAATGAGCTGTACAATCTATGAGATTTCAGTTAACGAGTTACCTCCTGTAAGGACTTTCAGCTTTATTAACGAGTATAAATTCTATTAATGACAGCCTTATGAGAAACACGTTTTGGTGCGGGCAACAGCTGATCGACTTGTCCGCCAAAAATCGGTTCTCTGTTTAGCTTTGTTTCCAGTGGAGTGAACACCGAGAAAGTTGTGCACTTGAATATTTTTGCATTTTTACATTAAAATTATTGGTCATTCTGAAATTTTGTTAACATATTGATAATATACAGTACAGTGTTGGTTTAAATAAAAAAAATCTGGAATTAGTTAAATAAATTGTTGTGAACTTAAAATTAAATTGGTGAAATTATCAAGCATGGGTCCGAAGAAATCTCGGGAGGCGATTTCATTTCAAGTGAAACAAGAAATTATTAAGAAATACGAAGAAGGCATTAGAACTAATGCACTCTGTAAAGAATATGGCATGTCGTCATCTCTCTTCTCCTCCTCCTCCACCCCCACTTTCAATCCCCTTCATCTTCCTCCTCCTCTAACTTTCAACTCAACCAGCAAGATTCTACATACCTGTACTGTACACACCTCAAAGTAAGTTAAAATATTTTATTGTATTTTATTTATTATTGTACAATATGCTGTACAGTGCTGTATTTTGTTTATATTTAATGTTTTGTTAATTCTATTACCGGTAAACATTACAGTATTTTGTCTGTATTTTTTAATTAATTTAAAGGGAATTCTGTGAGTTGGAACCAATTACCCAATATCCCATTAAATAGATTCAGTTAACGAGTGACTCTGTGGAACCAATTGTGCTCATTAATGGAGGGACCACTGTATTCTAATAACAAAAAAACATATTCTTGAACATACACTGAAGGTACAGTCACGGTCAAAAGTAATTATCCACTCCTACTACTATCATACCCGAGAGCTCAAGGCCTTTCTACACAGCGGGTCACAAGAGGGTGGGAGAGAGCTAGGAGTGGAGGACCAGGATGAGGTAGGAGGGTGCAAGTCAAGGGCCACATACGGAGTGGATGTGTATGTGGTTTTTTAATTATCCTTAACACCTGAAGAAGGTGTTAAGAATGGTGGATGTAGCTTGTCATTGACGACCTTAATGACCATGGCAGTTGATAGGCTTAATGCTCAAACAACCAACCAACCAGGAATGGGTGTGAAGGGGGGTTGTCATGTGGACTTAACTTTCCCTTAGTTATCTATGACTTTACTCGATATTCTGGGGAGGAAGGCAAGTGAGATTTTGGCAGGTAATGTGACATAATGCATCTGGCATCCATGAGAGAAAGCCCCTGATATGACACCATAAGGGAGGGAGGGAGCGTGGCTTGCTCACCACCAGTAACACCTTCCACCTCTAGCCACTATCGTTCTTTGGAAGGAAAAAAAAAAGTTAACTGAAGAAAAATAATTAAGAATGAATTCTTACTTGATCACTTCCATCTCTCACCACTACCGTTCTTGAAAACAAAATCACTATTAATTGATTAAAAAAAAAAAGAATTGTTGGATAGAATGTGACTTGTCCATCCTGTGAAAATCAATGGTGTTTGGCCACTGTGAGTCGTGGGCCAACTATCGGTTTGCTCACGGCTGGCTACAATGTATCAGAAATTCCAATGGAGGTTGGGGTCACTGTGAAACATTGGTTAACCTGCTGGGAGGAGTTTGAAAACTGGGGAAACAGGCTGCCGTGAGTATTTTTGATTGTTTATTGTCATTTGCTATTTTAAAATAACCAATTTCCATTGTGTAATGTAAACAAAACATATTTGAACTCTTAATTCATATAAATTAAATAATTTTATGCCAGGGAGATCACGACTGACAGGCGAGGAGGACATTAAACAGGCTATTGAGATTCTGTATGACATGTGTTAATAAATATTAAAAATAAATGTTCCATCCTCGTATTCAATATTTATCCTCATATCAACGTTATTATAAATATCTAATTACCGTTGTTTAAAACCTAAAAAATAATAAATAAGGAAGTGGATGCACATTATAATAATCATAAAATAAGGATCCCCATCTATTACTCCCTCAAGCATGTAAATCTAAGATAATTTACAGTGAAAAAAATTATAACCATCCCTCCCTTGCTTCTTCAAGAATTTCCCCTGCTTTCTTCAATCTCCCCCTATCTGCTGAGCAACTTGCATTGCATACCACCCTCCCCCCCCCCCAAATCAACCATTCCCTCTCTCCATCCCACGCGACTTACCTTGCAAATAGGACCGCCCAGGTGCAGGGGTTAGGTGGTAGACTAAATGATCACTTAATGAGCACTGAAGCACCTATGGTATTTTAGCATAATTTCTGCTTCATATTCATGCATAAAGGATCCCAATTATGAATGCTTTAATTTCTACTGCACCAGTATATACTGAACTGTAAACAAAATTTGCTTCCAACAATTAGTGATAATAAGTTTGCAGATGATTTAAATTTTTATAAACTTATTATTAACTGCCGCAATGCAAAAATGTATAGCTTATCTATTGATTATGACAAATGGTACAGTACTTGCTCTAACACAAAATAGAGTACGTACTGTACTGTATTGTACAGTACTATAAGGAAATCTGTAATATCTGATTCACCTAATCATCAACTACTGTTTTGTATAAAAAAATATATTCCCCCTTTCTTACCCCATTTATATACAAACAAAAATCCACATTTTTTTATATACATACATAGTCAGAAAGGGCAGCAATGCCTGATGGGAAGCGAAAGGGATCTGGCTGAAGTCTACCAAGGGCATCACGTTCCCTGGAGAGCCAGCAGTCATCCAGAGAAATCATGTCATATCCCAGATCGCGGTACCCTTGATTCACAAGGATGTCTGCCATTTGCATGAACAGCAACTCACTAAAAATATGTCACATAGGATTTAAGTATTTGTGGATTTGAGAATATGTTAGGTAAGCCAGTATGCAAATATGCACATGTGTATAGTACAGTACAAAATGCTGTACTGTATCGTATTAATATACATTGTGTGTACAGGTACTGTATATTAGTATGGATGAATACATTTGTATTGACATCAATATTTGTGTAAAGGGTAATTTCAGTATACAGGGTACAGACATGTGTGGCTCTAATAGTACTGTACTGTAAATGGAAGCAGGTGTTTCTGTATACGGTATGTGAGAGTACTATACATATACAGTACTGTATGCATATGTATGAATTAGTGTGAATGCTCCAATAATTTTCCAAGCATGTGTCTGCAATGCATAGAAATTTTAGGATGCATATATGTGCCTCAGTGATTGCATTAGGAAGAAAGCATTTACAGGCTTTATTAGTACAGTATATATATTATGGTGTGTTTGGAAGGTAATACTGTACATGTATAAGCCACAATACAAGACTAAGGTAAGGAACAGTGATACAGCTACAAATAGACAATCAAGTATTGCATCATCACTAGACAAAGGGGTAAGTGAATATTTACTCACCTGATACAGTTGTGTGGGTCATTGACACAGTCAGTGTTGCACCTAAACCGCTGCCAGGCTAACCAACCCATGGGTGGGGTGCGGGCCAGCCCATTTTCTAGCCCACACACACCCAAGCCCATCAGCAACACTCCCATTACTATCCATTGTGTTCCTCCTGACATCCTGGTGGAAAAATATAACATCAACTTCAACATTTCAAAAACTCTTCTGGGAGAAAAAACAAACAAAAACATACTGTACAGTATTGTACAGTACTAAAATTAAAATCCCAAAACTCATAGCCTAACTTCCAAATTCATGCCACTATACATTAACCTAGATATGCTCTTAAAGACCTAGTTGTTGAAGTGCAGTTCATGTAATACATTATCACATAACCAATGTTTATGATAGCCATGGTAGAACATAACATCAAATATGAAAAAGCATCTAATTTTATCATGAATTAATATTATAGTACTCGCATCTCATCATGTAAGGGATTATTAAGTTCAACTTCATGCTCTTGTTAGCTCATGGCAATGAAATATTATACTGTACAGTATACTCACTACTGAACTGCACCAAATATTCTGCACTGTACTCTATACTCATCTTAATGGAATTCATTTCAAGATCATAAATGCTACTACTATTTCTGTAATTTGAATTTACTTCTACTAAGCAGCAAATTGACCAGTTTCACTTAATTGTCTCCAATTCTTTGACAAATTAAATGATTACAAGCCACTTAGGTAATTTAACCCAATGAAGTGTAACTAGTGCTTAATTTATGCCAGAATGTAATGGAACATGTAATTTGTAAATATAATCACCTATCAATAAATACAATAGTGATATCTCTGTAAGCCGGAACAATTGGTGCAAAGCATTTCCGGGAATGAGAGATTTCCGGGTACCGAGACGACTCTCTCAAAGCTGAAAAAAAATCCCTCAAACCCCGAAATTTTTCGGGTCACGGAACACCTAACATGAGTACCTGTACCCCTTGGTCTATAGAATAAACTGGAAATGTTTAAATCTCTCTTGCTAAGGGAGGTGTCGAATGCAACCAACCTTTGCTAGCCTCCCATCCATTACAGCTTTGAAAAATCTTTTATAGTTAGATTTAGGTATACAGAGGGTAATTCGATTTTTATAATAATCAATTACTAAATAACTTTAAAAAAATTAATGAAATGTAAATAAATGTCAATAAAATAAAAACACAAAACATAAAAACTACTGAAAATAGATAAATGAATACAGTGATCCCTCGGTTAACGAGCGCCTCTGTTAACGAGATTTCGGTTAACGATTTACCTTCCATAAGATTCTTAACTTCGGTTAACGAGCAATCCCTCGATTAACGAGTTTTTTACGAGCCGACTTCAACATGTTTTCGCTTGCATTTGGCGGTCCACCAGCTGTAGTATTAGTCCGCCAATACAGTAATCGGTTTTAGGGCTTAAATTCCTTACTATTTTAGTAAATATCAAGAAGTTTATACTATTCAATAATTTTAAAAGTTTAATATTAACTTTTTTAGTCATTTTAACAATTATTGAACATAATTGAAGGTAAAGAAACTAGTTTCTGGCGTGCCATCCAGCCTGTTAACACACCAGACAGGAGTTAGTCTCTCTCTGTTTTCAGTGGAGGTAACATCTTGCTTGAGACTCTCTTCAACTAAATGCTTTTTTCTGTGTTTCCAAGCAAATTATTGGTCATTTTGAAATTTATTTTACATATTGACAATATATAATGCAGTGCAGTGTTGATTTAAAGAAAATAATCTTGAATTACACCAAGAGAACTAAAATTTTATGGGTGAAATGGTGCCATGGGGTGATATCTCTTCCACCCCAATGCCTTCTCTTCTCCCTTCTCCTCCACCCCCATTCTAATTCCCATCATCATCATCCAGGAGCCTTCTACATACACACCTCAAAGTAAGTGTACTTTTCTACCTTTTTTGTTGAATTTAGACAATTTTCGGTGAGCTGCAACCAATTTTCCAAAAACCCATTGAAACAATGGTTTCGGTTAACGAGCAACCTGCTGGAACGAATTGTGCTCATTAACCGAGGGACCACTGTATATAAACCTAAAAATAAACAATTATAATGAAGTAATGAAAAAATTTAGAAAACTGTATATAAATTGTTTACAGGGAAATCTAAATACCGTACTGTAAACAGAAAATCTTGAATGTGCCAGGACTTCCTTTATATATATATATACAGTGACCACTCCATTAACGAACTCAATCTGTTCCAGAAGGTCGTTCGTTAACAACATTTCAATGGAACAAAATAAAAAGTTCACCCACTCCTGGATGATGAATTTAGAATGGGGGTGAAAACAGTCACCCCATGGCGCCATTTCACCCATAAATTTTAGCTCTTGGTGTAATTCAAATTACACTTACTACTAGTACTGAACCAATCATGATCAAAAAAAGATGATGTGGGTGTGCGTGATCCAGGCCACAAGGAAAGAAGAAAACACGAAGTTCCCAAGCGCTTTCGTGTAATTCACATCTTCAGGGGTGAGTACAGTCTGTACTCACCACTGAACATACATTTTCAAATGCCTTTTCCCTAACCTACCTCATTTAATTCCCTCTATTCATTTTTGTTCATTTGCCATTCATATTTCAAAATAATTAGCCTTAAAACATTAACCACTTTAGTAAATAAATATGAACCAGCACAGAAACCATGAATATAAAATGGAAAAGTCAAAGAACATATGTCATCACAAAAATTGTGACCAAGTCCCAGGTTGCTGATCTGACTTTCTACCTCATTTACACACAATTGCAGGGTCTCATTTGCTTCTCTTACTATTGACAACACAACATACATACGTATATTGTTTCTCCTCTTGATTTTTTTCATTTTCCATTTATTTATGGTTCTTTATTACTATTACTATTATTATCATATTAATATTATTACATTATCGCCCCCAGGCGATGTGGGTCAGTGACCTGTGCCAGGGTGGGCTAATCCTGTTAAAAAAAAATGATTAGTTCGGGATTGACGGTTAATCCGAAAGTCGGTTAATCGAGGTTTTACTTTTACACACACACACACACATATATATATATATATATATATATATATATATATATATATATATATATATATATATATATATATATATATATATATATATATATATATATATATATATATATATATATATATATATATATATATATATATATATATATATATATATATATATATATATATATATATATATATATATATATATATATATATATATATAAAATCTGCAGGGAAAATGGAAACATGAAGTACCTTGGCTTTCGTCTTTATTCAGTGGCCCAAGGTTAAAATGCTTTGAAAACCTTTGATCTTGATGTATGATAGTTATTTTGTGGGTCCCTTTTTCTGACCTGACCTGTCTAGTCACGTCATCACCCTTCTCTTAAGCTCCTCTCTCGTGTGTGTTGGTGTGTGGATTGGTGGATGTCATCATTTATGACCTGACCTCATGTTTTAGGTCACCCTGTATATTTAAGCCTCTCTCATCATGTAATCAATTGCCTCCTGAAAGATGTCTTGAATAAAGACAGCTAAGGTACTCCGTTGTTTCCATTTTCGTGTGATTTTATCAAGATTTATCTTATCCACGTTTTCATTATTGGATTTATGAAATATATATATATATATATATATATATATATATATATATATATATATATATATATATATATATATATATGTATATATATATATATATATATATATATATATATATATATATATGTATATATATATACACAGTTAACCCTCAATCTACGCGGTCCCGCATTCCGCGTTTCCACGTTAACGCGGTGCCTTGCCAGAACCTCACGTGCTCACATTACGCGGTACGTGAACCCCATTACGCGGAGAGTGTTCGGTGCGACGCTATTTTTAGATTCGCCCCACCCGCCCGCCTGCCTGCCTGCCTCTCCCTCCGCTTGGGCAAGCGGCGCAGTAAGGTTGCGCAGTGTGTGTCTTTGTTGCGTTATCACTGACGTCATATGACGTATCAGACCTGTGATTGGCCATGCATCCCTACCCCCCTCTGCTGCTAGCTGTAATTGGCTTAAAGTATTATGACGTGTCCACCCGGGGGAGGGAGGGAGGAAAGACGACGCTTGACCTAGCCGCGGCAGTTTCATCCCTCAAGGCCACTCCGTGTAAACGCGCATCCATTGTTCCGTAAAATGGCTTCCGCCGGACCACCACCCCCAGAGAGAAACCTTTCCTTACCTGGACCCAGCGGCACTAAACCAAAGAAGACACGACGTTCCTTAAGCTACGAGGTGAAGTATAGCATCATCCAAGAGTTGGAGAAAGGAACAAGGCAGGTTGATTTGGCGCGCCAGCATGGCGTGAACGAATCTACGATCCGGACTATAAAGAAGGATTCAGCCAAGATAAAGGAGCACATGAAGATCACAAAGTCTACAGGTGCTTCTATGATCAAGTATTTTCACAACCAGGTGCTTCTCAAGACAGAAAAATTACTTGTGAGGTACTTGGTGCGTCAGGCGCGACGGAACATGGCGGTCGACACGCGCTCTGTTAAGGACTACGCACGTGAACTGTACATGGCAGTGGCACGAAAGATGGGAACTTCAGAGCCCAAACCCTTTAATGCTTCCTCTGGGTGGTTACAGAGGTTTAAGATCCGGAACAAGATCACCAATATAAACATTGGTGGTGAAGAAGCGAGTGCTGATCGTGCTGCGGCTCGGGAATTTCCTCCGTTTTTACGTGAGATTATGGAGGAAGGACAGTACAGTGACGACCAGGTGTTTAACATGGACGAATCTGGTCTTTTCTGGAAAAAGCTACCTTCCAAGTCCTTCGTTGTGAAGAATGCCAGCAGGATTCGGGGCCGGAAAATGCAGAAGGAACGCATCACCGTCCTGTTTACCACCAATGCCTCCGGTACCTGTAAGCTCAAGTTATCGGTGATCCACACAGCACGCAAGCCGCACGCCTACAAAACAATGGACATGACCAAGCTAAACGTCCACTGGCTGACCGCACGTAAGGCGTGGATGTTCTCTACACTGTCCCTCTCCTGGTTTGATGACTGTTTTGTTCCCGATGTAAAAAAATTCTGTGAGCGACAGAATGTGCCATTTAATA